GAATGGGATACAGTATTTCTGGTCTGGATTGGAGAGAGTGGCAAGGAGGGTGTTTAGAGGGTGCCCCCACTTTATGCGATTTCACCCAGCACATAACCCTTGCATTAAGTGGGAGTTGTCTGTATTGAAAAAATTCTGACTAATAAGATACCAGTACTGATTTTTAAACATCACACAGACAAAACTGTTATAGGAAGTAGAAGGGGGCCGACAGATTTCAACAGGGGAAAATGAATGAGGATAAATTCCCTGTCCAAAGGCTTTGTCCTCCATAATTCTGTTTCCTCGTCCTTCCTTCTGCCCTCTCCAGAAATACATAGCTTCAATTGATTTTACAGAACAACAAGAAGAAATGGCAGTGCTGGTGGTATTATTGACCTAAAAATTGGTGGGAGTGAAAGGAGGGGGGAAACAGGCTAATCTGATGATGTGGAAGCACTGCATTTGTTTTTCCTATCCCCTTACACCCTGAAGCTTTAATGATGTCCTCCTCATAATGAATGATCTTGGGAGGGGAGAAAGCTGTATTGGAGGGGAGAGCGGCTGTGGCTTGAGAAATTAGTTTTACGCGTGTCAGGCTTCGGAGAAACATTATGTCATTCTCATTTGCACTGCTTGAGGATGAGCTCATTGGGGAGGAGCCTCCGTGATTCGCAGCTGTGCCAGTTCAGCCTGTGGTGATTAGCATTCTCTGCGCTCACCAACAGAACAGAATAAAGAGGAGGAGGAGGAGGAGGTGGAGAAAAAGGAGGCTGCATTATAAATTATTTAAAAACCTACAGATAAGTGTGTGTGTTTTTTAAGTAATCATAAAACCCAGAACAGATTCAAATTTCCAATCAAAAGAACATGATTTGAGCCACTATTTTTCTTGTTACTGTAGGCTGGAAGGGATTGAGTTCTGTCTCTAAGAGGAAGAAAGCTGAGCCCTGTATATTGCACCCAACTTTCAGCCCCAACTACTGATTTGGGTGATTTTCTTGGTACAGTGAGGCCTATCATTTATATTGCTCTTCTTCCCTCTCCCCTCCCCCCCAGATTGATATGCTAATCTTACTGGATAGATATCCTGAACTTTCTTTTTCCCCCTTTTAGAAGGAAAAAATAGATTGCATTTTGGATTTTGTAACCAATGAAGCTTGGCACCCAGCCCAGTGCATCTGAAATATGGTGTGTGCTGTGAATATGGGTGTCTCAGGATCCCCCAAATAGCTTAGTGTTAAAAGCTATGTAATGGAAGGTAATAGTGTGCTGAGCATTTAAAAAAAAACGATTTGGATTGGGGCAAAAGAAGTAACAGAATCTGAAAATGAGGAGTGTTTCAAGGAAATAGGAGAGGGAGGATTAAATAATCAGGAACTAGAAATAAGAAAGGGAAGTTGAAATGGATGGAGAAGTACTATATTGAAAGATGACTGTAAGGGCTTTTGGGAGAGGCTGAGGACCCCTCTAGACTGGTGGGGGTTGGGGTGTCTTCCACAACATGTCACTGATGCAATAATAGTGCATTCGTGGTGGATTTATACTGGACCATCACTCTGCTTTGTAGTTGTTCTGCAATGCTTCTCCAATTTTGCAAACGGTATTCAAAGTGGAATTACTTATAACTGCCCAGATATCATCATGAAAATGAAACATCAAGAATGCACATTAAAAAGGATTTTTGGAGGAGTCCAGGGGGGTTGTCCAGGGGTAAATCTGGAGAAGTGGCTTCAGCTTGTAAAGGTACCACAGCAAGAGAAACAGAGAAGAAACTGGTGTTCACAGAGCAGGAGAAGTCAGTGAAAATTGATTTATTCACAAATTGGGATGCTGTTTATAAACTCTTAGAGGGCAGATACGTTCATCCTAGAGACACTGTTTCCAGAACAAGCATAATTTACTTTTCAAATAATTTTCCCTTTGCTTGTTTTATTTATGATCTTTATAGAAATGGAACTATTGAGGTTTTTTAGGGTTGGCAGGAGGATAGAACGTTGTGGTTTTCTGATATCTCTGTCAGGAAGGTAGTGAGGGAGATTCCGCATTTTATATAGTAAACATGATGGCTTCATGTACACTTAGGCTTCCCTCAACAAACTTGTAAAGTGTGAATGACAGACATAGTTGCATCTTGAACAACCAGATACACCTGTCTTGGAACCTAGCCTAAACAGTGTATTTTACAGTTTGCATGTTCCTGAGTGAACTAGTGGTGTCATGTTGTTTTATTTACCCAAAATACAGTGGTGCCTCACAAGACGAAATTAATTCGTTCCGCGAGTTTTGTCGTCTTGCGATTTTTTTCGTCTTGTGAAGCACGGTGTCGGGAAAGTTTTGGGAAAGCTTCAAAAATCACCAAAGTCTTTAAAAACCTCAAAAAAGGCTACCACACCGCGTTCTGTGAGTTGCTCCTCGAAGTCAAGTCGCAACTGTATTAACGGTGTTAAGAAAAAGGAAACAAACTTGCAAGACGTTTCCGTTTTGCGAAGCAAGCCCATAGGGAAAATCGTCTTGCGAAGCAGCTCAAAAAACAAAAAACCCTTTCGTCTAGCGAGTTTTTTGTCTTGCGAGGCATTCGTCTTGCGGGGCACCACTGTAAATACATTTTATAGAGAAGGGAAAAGGCAATTTGGAGCAGAGAAATTGTGGTGAGATTATTAGCCTTACCTCCCTCTCCCCCCCCCCTTGCTGTTTCCCTGATTCCTAACATGAAATATGAATTTTGAACCCTGGCAGAGGGTAAGCTGCTGATGACAGGGTCATTTGGAGTGCAGAAAAGTGATAATACTATTGTCATTTTCAACAGTAGGCAAGTATTTTAAAAATAAGTATTTTTAAATGGAAAAACAGCTTTTTATGGATAATCCATCCCTCCATTCTTAAAAAAAAAAGTAACAAGCTAGTGTTCTGGAGCAAAATTATAATCCAAACTACTGGGCTAAAGGCATCTTTTTCTAGGAAGACAAATATTTGTTTTGATTCAAAGTGTGAACCGCAATTTTTAAAAACAGTAGAAACAAAATCTGTTTGCAACCTTCTGTTGCTGTTCTGTCTGGATTTTAGTTATCTTTAAAAGTAAATTATATAAAACCAGCAGTCTTTGCTCGCCTATGGGCGTGCAAACTTTTTGGGGTCAAGCTCCACATTTGCTCAGGGTGAAGTGGTTGATGGCTTCATGGCCAGAGTAAGATGGGGCACTCTCCCCTCTCCCTCTTTCTTACACACAGAGAGACACTTCTCTCCTCCTGTTGATAAGCAGGTTCATGTGGAAGTCAATAGTCCTTCATATACCCACATCCCATCCCATATAGGGCTTTGAATGTTACGCGCTTTGAACTGTGCCCAGAAACAGACAGGGAAGCAGTGAATCTGCGCTAAAGATGTTTTCTGGCCGACTAGTCCTGCTTTGTAATCTGAGCCAATAGTACTTCAAGTCTTCAAAGGCAGTCCCAATGCGCAACACATTGCAGTAGCCTAATCCCACTCCTATTGAGATTATAAACAGCTTTTCCAGCCTAGTCTTAATACCCCCAGCAGTGCACTATGAATTTTCCTGCCACTCAGCAGATTTGCATACAATGCTTGCCGCATTGTGAGCCAACTCAGTATTGATAATTCAGTAAATGTTAATGGGAAGGGTATACTGAAAGCAACCATCAACCTTGACTTAAGTACATTATCAAACATTGTGTCTGAAAGGCATTAGTCCCGTAGGGATCTTCTTTTAAACTCTCGGGCTTTGGAAAGATAGAAGCTTCACTACATCGTAACACCGAGTGAAGCAAGTTTTCCTTTCTCTACCTTATGCTTAAAATGATTACCATTCATTAGTCAACTCCGTGTTAAAGGGCACTATGTTTGCCTTGAGGCTACTTTGTCTAATTAGCTTCATGGGAAATTAAGAAGGTGCTGTTGTGGTTTTTTTTGCATTCCCCCCCCCTATGAATTTCATGTTGTTACAATTCTTCAGCTACAGAGTAAATACTGCTACTGCTTTAATAGATACTTGAGGGTAAAACCTGCTGCTTATTTGTAATGTTCTTTATGCTGAAATCAGGACTGAACTCTGTGCTATTCAGGAAGTCTGTTAACAATCTCCTCCTCCTGTTCTAATCAAACCTGATGCTTTTTGTTCCTCCTTTTCATTTGAAACCCAAAATTATTAGGTGATGTATTCATGTATCTGCAGTGCATCATGTAATCTGGTCTTGATTGAGAGGCTGCCTGTTTTTTCTTCTTCTGAGTAGTTCACAGGAACATAGAAAACTGCCTTACAGTGAGCCAGACTATTGTTCTATTTAGCTTAGTACTGTCAACATTGGCTGGCAGCTGATCTCCAAAGTCTCAGGCGGATGCCTTTCCCTACCAGGAGATGCCAGTATTACTGAGCCTTGGCATTTTCTGTATGCAAGACAGATGCTCTGCCACTGAGCAATGACCATAGAGACACCATAGCACCTTGAGACCTCAAGCAGACATAAAAGGCACCCTTCACTGTGTTAATGCATAAAAACTTCAGTCCATGTCTGCTAAGTCCCTTTGATGCCTAACTGTGTTGGATTGCCACCCAAATTGTTCTTGGTGATGGTCCTACATCTTTGGTACTCTTTTGCACTGGAAACACATCTAAGTCAGAGCCAAGAGAAGCTTTCAAAGGTATTGCAAGACTTTCTGTTTATTTAAGTCGGCATTCCCTGGACCAAGTGGATGCGAATGCGGCCTTGGCTTATCTGTTTTATCCACTTTTGTCAAAACAGTTTAGGTAAGGTTACCAGATGTCCCCATTTCCTGGGGACAGTCCCCAGATTTACAAATCAGTCCCCATACAAAATCAATTGAAGTTGAAAAGTGTCCCTGGATTCATTGAAAAAAATCTGGTAAACTTAAGTTTAGGTTTCTGCTCTTTACAGAGCTTCTGAGCAGGAAGAATTTGGAATATCAACAACATTATTGTTTCCCTCGCCAGCCTGCGTTTGCTGCTGATGTAGATCTTTCTTTTCTTCCACTTTCCATTTCAGAAAATCTTTGGAAGAACTGGATATGGATAAAGTCACAGCAGCTATGGTCCTAACCAGTTTATCCACCAGCCCTTTGGTCCGCAGCCCTCCTGTCCGACCCAACGGTAAGCACTGTATTCCTACTCACAAGAGATTGTGAAAAGAGTAGGGATCTTGAACTTAAATTTCACCAGTGGTTGCAATTCATGAAGCATGTATGTCTAACTATAGTAAGTATCCATCTGTTGCACTGGGAACATATAGAAAAATAAATCCTATAAACCATTATGCTATTAGGGGACCTGCCACCAATGCATTATGGGACCTTGCGATCAATGCATTGTTCATGAGTCACTTTTTCTGAACAAGGGGGTGGGGACTAATTTTGAGCAGTCAAACAGCAGAGAGGGAGAAATTTAGGCACTCCTTTCCCTCCCTGATTCTTCCTCTCTGGGCAGAAGCATCTAGGCAGTTTTTAATTTACAAATAAAAACAAAAAAAGAGAAGAGGGGCATGAAACTTGCTGCTGTGTGTAACAGGTAGCGCATAAGATCAGACTGACATTCTTCTTTAAATAAGACAAAGAATAACAAAGAAGATGGCAGGAAAACAAGAATCAGACTTATTCTCTCTTTGTTTGTTTCAGCCTCATTCTATCAGGCTTTCTTCTCTTTTCAAAATTTTGTTCATGTATAAATCTTTTCTTTTTTAAAAAGAAAGATAAAGAGAAGTTAAAAAGCCAGAGAACATAGAAATGCCGTAATTATGACTGAACATTACATTTGAATGATAGGTGCTTTTTTCACCCCTTTAGCTTCTGTGAACAAACAGCATTTAAAACTATGCTTGACTTATTTATTACATAAAATTTACATGCTGCTTGATTGTAAAAAACAACAACACACAACTCTGATACCAGGTGTGCTATGTGTGTATAAATTAGTGAAAGCATTTCAGTACTCCCAGGTACAAACTCTTCACACATTTATAGCTGCAGGACTGTTGCCAACATTCTCTTCTAAAGTAACTGATACAGTGGTACCTCTGTTCTTGAACGTAATCCATTCCGGAAGAGCGTTTGACTTCCAAAACGTTCAAAAACCAAGGCACAAAGGGCTGGCTGCAAGTTAAATTGAGAAAATTGAAAACATGCAGCGGAAGCCGTTCAACTTCCAAGGTGCGTTTGGAAACAGAAGCATTTACTTCTGGGTTTTCAATGTTTGAAAACTGAAACATTAGGCTTCCAAGACGCTCGAAAACCAAAGGACCACTGTATTGAGTTGCTTTGGTCCAGGGGTAAACAGCGTATTATCCTCCAGATGTTGTTGAATTACAGTTCCCATCATCCCTGAGTTGTTCCCCAACACATCCGTGGGGAGGTGGGGTCTACCATGTTGGCTTCCCCTGCTCTATCCAGTGCTGTTCAGCTTTAATTCACTTTCCTTTCCTTTCCGATCTCATGAATTTCTAGAGTCCTTAAATGGATCTTGGAAGGAAGGAGGATTCGTGCCTTCGAGTACCAGCAGCAGCGGGTATTGGAGCTGGAGTGCTCCAAGCGACCAGTCAAACCCATCCACCCCCTCGCCCCCTCTTTCTGCCGACAGCTTCAAACCATTTCGACTGCCCTCCCAGACAGATGACGGCATTGACGAAGCTGAAACTAGTAGTCTCCTCTTTGATGAGCCCATTCCTAGAAAAAGGAAGGTGAGCCCAATATTGACTTCATAGGAGACTCAAGCTTGTTTGGTACCCTTGGGGTTAATTTACAAACCTGAGGGGTGCATTGTTTCTTACGGGATAGTACATTCGCTGTTTGCTCCAGGATGTTGGCATGCTTTTTAAGTGTCCAACCCTGGGGCTTATTGACAAAGTGCCACAGTCAACTTGTCATGGTTTCTCTTCTCTCTTCTGCCACATCGACGTAGGCCTCTTACCATCTAGTTCAAAGATAAGCAGTCAAAGGCACTATCAAATTTAAATTAAGTTACAGCAAAAAGTTTGAGCACAGAAAATAACTTGTCTTTTTGAAATAACAGAGATTCCACACTGGAGTGGAATGGAATATTACATCTCTCCCTTTTCACTTTGCAAGTTTTACACACACACACACACACACACACACACACGTATGTATGTATGTATTTATATGTAACTGCATGTCATACCAAAAGGGATGTCATCTTATTTTAAACAAACTTTGGCTGCATTCCTGTAAACTCCCTAGTGCAGCTGTGGGGGCTTCCTTCAAATAAAGCGTATCTCCCCCCCTCCCCCCCCCCCCGCAGAGGATCACTTGGAAAAAGTGTTTTGACTCCAAACTGCTTCCTCCAAATGGACTTCAAAGGGCTCATTGTAAACACCGATAATCGAATCAGAGGTTATAGTAAGCTCCTTACAAGGTGCACTCCTGGCACCAGTCAACTGATAGGCAGTGAAAGTACACCTTCAAAGGTGGTTATCAGTTGAACATATCTAATTCCCCATCCCTTTGCTAATATTTTTATTACAATTTTTTTTAAAAAAAAATAATGCCCGATTAATCAGGAGCACCAGAAGCACTTATTTATCATCATCATCATCATCATCACAATTATTATTTATTAAATAGTTATCTGCCCAATGTAACCATTTTACATTATAGAAGTAACAATACAGATAAAAGCACCAATTTAAAACACCAATTAAAATGGGAAGGGAAACATTATAAAAGATCATCAAAACCATATGGAACAGTAGAGTTTTCAGCTAGGTAATGAGCAGTCCAGCCTAATCTCTCTTGGTCATGGGACTTCCATACCAAGGCCGCTGAGAGTCATAGATTTTAGGCAGGTTCATATAGAAGATGGTGGGTCTTGCCTCCAAACTGTTTAGGGCTTTATAGGTAAGAAGAAGCACCTTGAATTGTGATTGAAAACAAACTGGAAGACAGTGCAGTTGCTGTAGAACTAGTGTTATATGATCCATAAAGCACTCACCAGACAAATGGCTGCCATATTTTAGTTGATTAGAAAAAATATCTAATAAGCATTGCAGCCCTAAGGTGGATCGAGACACAAGGGGGCGGAGACACACTATAAATAAGTCATAAATAAGTCAGATCATTATAACAAAAGAAAGAAATCTCTATGGAAAACCTCATTTTAAAAATTTGTGTTCTCTAGCACCATCTGGTGTTGTATGTTTATAGTGCATTCGGATCACTGTATCTTTACTAATGGAGCCAAGTCCCTAGTGTGCTCCTTAACTCTTGGTGCTAGATAGCCCTGACATCATGATGAAGCCTAATTTTTTTTTGGGGGGGGGGAGTTTATGTGGCAACATGTCCCAAACTGGCTGTCCCACTTTTACTTCACTAGAGAAATGAATAAATTATCCACACTTTTCCTAGAGTCTGCCATGATATACTATTATAAAACTTTAAAATGTACTTTTTCTGCTTCCCTAGGAGTGGCTTTTTTGGTCAAGCAACAGAATAGTTCTACAATGAAAAACCACAAACGGTGCACTCTGTGCAGTACATATAATTTAACTAAAAACAGATGTGTGAACAAATTAATTAATCTGTATTTTCTCTTGTTGATTTTTTTTTTCAGAATTCCATGAAGGTGATGTTTAAATGCCTTTGGAAAAACTGTGGAAAAGTACTGAGCACAGCCGTCGGTATTCAGAAACACATCCGGACCATTCACCTTGGGTAAGAAAACTACTGTCCCTTCTGTCTGGAAAAAAGACTAATATCCAAATCCATTTTACTCAGAAATAACCCTAATTGATTTCACTAGGATTTATATCCCTAAGCAACAGAGCTTGCTTAGAATCAACCGCTGATCTGTGGTATCTCAGTTCTCTACTTTCAGGTTGATAAAGATTTTGAAAAAAATCCCACATTATGTCAGGATATATTTTCACCTGTATCAAAGTTGTTTCTAAAGTGATTCCGGAGATGACATGCAGGTCTAGTATTCATGTAACACTAAAGCTAAACAGTGGCTTAACATGAATAAGCAAATGTGAGCTAAGCCATGCTTTGGCTTAGTGTGCTCTCTGAAACTGTGCTTGTGGCTTGCTTTTTCCAGAAAAACCACTAGCTGTAACCAAGGTTTGTCCTATGGTTTAAAATCCATGGTTTGTCTGGGGTAGCCTCACTGTGACTCATAATAAGTCACTATTTATTGTGACCCCTTAGCTTTTAAATTCTAGTGCCCCTTTATTCTGCCTCTGAGGCATATGTGCCTTGCATGCTCACATCAACAAAATGGCACAAAAAGCCTACAACCAAATGAAGAAGGTATCTTAATATTGGTCCAACTGTCAGTTATAAAAGTTGTATGTCACACATCATACAATGTTGAGAGATGTAACTTCTTTGCATCTGCCCATATACTAACATCACAATTCTCCTTTACTGCAGTTAATTTAATATGCTAGAAATAACTTCTTGGTCTCCACTTGATTTAGGCGTGCGGGAGAGTCGGACTACAGTGATGGAGAGGAAGATTTTTACTACACAGAGATACGCCTCAACACTGATTCCGTAGCTGATGGGTTAAGTAGCTTGTCTCCCGTCTCCCCGTCTCTAGCATCTCCTCCTCCTTTTCCATCACAAGATGTGAGCAAAAGTGACCTGTCATGTGCCAAAACAGATGTGAAAGGGATGACACCTCTAAGCCGCTCGGCTCCTACCAATCTCTACCTCGTTCACTCTGACCATGCTTACCAGGTAAGATTCTTTTTCCCGCAAGGGTTACTGGCTCAGTGTAATGGGAAGCCCATAGTTTCTAATGTGAATGAGCCTTGGCAAACATCAGTCTTGTGTGTTCACCTTCCCCTCCTTTTCTATTCTTTCACGGACAAGAAGCTTTTGATTATTAAGCAAACCACAGTTCATTGTGATGTCTGAATTTTAGGAACTGTGGTTTGTTCAAACTGTGGCTTCCTTCTACTGATCTGTTTTTTTTTGGGGGGGGGAATCCAGAATATTTATTAGAATCTATTCTTTTCTAATGTTACCATTCCTTTCTTTATAAATGAATTCAAGACAGCTGAAATCAACTAAAACATTCAAATTGTCAATGACACAGTCTACCAACCCCCAAACAAGCACAACATCAGAAACAAGCAGAGAGAAAATATAAGCACCTAGCAACACAAAAAAGGCTGGTCTGAAAAGTGGGTGGGTTGCCTGGGGTCTGAAGGCATAAAGTAATGGGACTAGGTATCCCTCCCTCTAGGATAATATTTCAGAAACTTTACACCATGATTGAAGGACCTGTTTCTGATATACTCTTGCCAAACCTCAGTCTACAAGGGCACCCAGAGTAGGATACTTGCTATGCAAGGTTATATATATATGAGAGAGAATCGGTCCATCACCATTTGCTCCTGTACACGTGCTTCCCATCCCTGTGCAAGTCTTGCAGAGGAAAGATCTGCAGCCTCTCAGAGAATTAAACTGCAAGTCAAACACAAGACGACAGTGTTACTGATATTTATTTTAACGTCATTTTTTCTTTCTTTCAGCAATTGCAATTAAATTCTGAAAGATCACTGCATACTGCCTTCCATCTTTTCCGCTCCCCATTCTTGCCTTGCAGTTGCTGCATAAGTCCTGACTTTTTGACTTGTTTCAAAATGTTGACAGATGTGCTTGCTCATGTTCATTAACTGTTCTTTTCACCATTTCATGATAGTTTCTGTGAGAAACTAGCTAATGTCATTTTCTCTCCCACCCACTCTGGTGTTTGTTACCCCCTAAAGTGCTGCTTCTGTAAGATCTGATTTTTTAAAAAACATTATTGGGTCTGCATATATTGGAAAACCGTTCATTGCTCATGAATGTGAATGCAGTTCTTCTTTCTGCTTGCAATACATATCATTACACATGCTCCCTGTATCCCTCAGAGAACTGCATGAAAAGTACAGTGGACAGGGAAGGGCCATAGCTCAGCAGCAAGAACATCTGCTCGGCAGGCAGAAGGTCACAGGTTTAGTGCCCATCTAGGACTGGGAGATGCTTCCACCTGAAACCCTCTGCCAGTCACTGTTGGCAGTACTAACCTAGACAGACCAGTGCTGTGACACTGTACTCCTATGTTCAAAATAATCTCTTTCCCAAACTTGATACCCAATTTACGGTCCTTAGTATAAGACAGTTTGCAACATAATTCTGTAGAACTGAGATGTTCCTCCTTAACTGACTGGTGTTTTTTAAAACAGGCCACAGCTCCTGTGAACATTCCAGGAACAACAAAGTTCACTCCCAATGGAAATAGCTTTAGCATCTCCTGGCAATCGCCCCCAGTTACCTTCACTGGCATTCCAGTAAGTAGAAAACCAACAAAATAGAACAACGGGAGGTTTTCTTTATACAGTGGTGCCTCGCAAGACGAAAAGAATCCGTTCCGCGAGTCTCTTCGTCTTGCGGTTTTTTCGTCTTGCGAAGCAAGCCCATTAGCGGCTTAGCGGATTAGCGCTATTAGCGGCTTAGCGGGCTTAGCGGATCAGCTGATAAGCGGCTTAGCGGATCAGCTGTTAAGCGGCTTAGCGGATCAGCTGATAAGCGGCTTAGCGATCAGCTGCTTAGCGGCTTAGCGGATCAGCTGTTTAGCGGCTTAGCGGATCAGCTGATAAGCGGCTTAGCGGCTTGGGAAAAGGGGGGGGAGGGGAAAAAACCCTGCAGGAACTCGCAATACATTTTTGTCTTGCGAAGCAAGCCCATAGGAAATTCGTTTTGCGAAGTACCTCCAAAACGGAAAACCCTTTCGTCTAGCAGGTTTTCCGTCTTGCGAGGCATTCGTCTTGCGGGGCACCACTGTACCAGGGATTCAGAATCGTTGTCCCTCCAGATGTTGCTGGGCTCCAACTCCCAACAGCCCTAGCCAGCATATGGACCATTGTTGTGGAAGAAGGGAGCTGCAGTCCAGCAACATCTGGAGGGCCACAGGTTCACTATCCCTGCTTTTATATTGCGGTACATGCCTGGAAGCAGGCGCTGTTGTCCTTTGTCCAGGTGAACATTCCTTTGTAGCAGTGCTCTGTCCTCTTCCGCCTGCCCTGCCCAGATCTGTAATTTGTGGGTGCATTGTTGAGATCAAGAGAGTCTAGTGGGAGCTGAGTAGAAAGACTGGCAAACGAACACAGTATTCCAGCTATGAATCAACTAGTCCCTGCTGCCAACTGCTTGCATTTTGGACCTTACATTGATGCTTCTTACTGTAACATACAGTTTCAAAGTGTTTCTCCTCTGGCACCATGATCCTGAATAGGTGATACTCCCTAAAGTTGCAACAGTTAATTCTGACGCCCTCCAGTCCATTGGATTTGTAAGCCTCATAGGACACTGGCTGGATGGTTTCTCCTATTCCCTCCCCTGCATTATTTTTGTTGACATGTGATCCATTGTAATCCCATATTGCTTTCTATCATTCTTCTGCCCAGCTGCTTATAGCCTCTTTGTTTGCCATTTCTCCCTGCCTTGCATTTCCCCAACACAAATGGCTCCTATAAGTAAATTACGTTCTAATTTTTATTAAAATGATTGTTCCACCATTTAAATGATTGCCATCAGAGCATAACCCTCCTTTTCCATATCAAAGTGCTTTACCTAAGGCCACACGTTCCAAATTTTCCATTTCCTGCAAATGCACACTGGCTGTACAAAGCCTCTGCTTACTGACAGTGTGAATTAGGCACCGATAAGGTACTGCCCGCTTCTTCCCTCTCTTCACCAAGTGAATCACAAAAGCCTCTTACTGTCAACCTTTGGCATGTCTTGGAGGTTTTCTGTGGAGTCTGTGGTCTCCTGCTGAGCTGATAAAAAATGAAAGTAGCTGAATCAATTACATTGCTTTCTGCCAATGAATATTTATTAAATTCTATCAAGGAACAGCTAGCGGTGAAAGGCATCATGCTGGTAGCAATTTGAACAAGAGACTCTTAACAGAACATGCTGCGCATAAAATACTCCCAAAATTTGATTTCATGACAATACGGTTGATCTAGAATAATTATAAAGGTGGCTTGTTCTCTGTGGCGCTGTAGAAAATTGGCTGAAGTAGCACAAGAAATCCAAGAATCTTATTAGTCACTCTATAAACCAGACATTGAAGGCAACTGGATTAGGTGTGTAGGTATCTTTCGCCTATAATGACTTACCATTCCCAACAAAATTAAACCAAGTAAATAGTTCAAGTGAATTAGAAAGTGCATGATTTTTAAAATTAAAAATACAACAAAACAGTTTAATATAAAGGATTTTCCAGTTTTCATAGCAATACTAAAATGCACATTTAGATGAACATAATTCCGTGTGTTTCAAAGCATTTGTATTGTTTCAAAGTACTTTTTAAAATCACAGCTATGTGCTTTTGACATGGGTTACACTTAACTCCTAGGAAGGTGCTGTAGCTTCCACTAGCATAACAATTTAGTTGAATACGGCCGAAAAATTATAAGGAATCAATATCATTGTCTGGACCATTTCACTGTAGTTCTCTAGACGAGTCCATATATTAGCCCAGAAGCTAATAAAATGTTGAAGCTGAATAATGAAAGCATTAATCCTGAATTTCTCTTGGAATATACAGGTGTGCCTTCAATGGCTTTTCTGGAGTGTCTGGTAGCAGTCGATTCTTTTGCCCTAACTTTATATACCAGGATGGTTGCAGGCAGAAATCTCTTTGCAGTGTGCATTAAAATTTCACTGCATTGGCCAAACATTGATGAAGTCTTGATGAAGCTGTGTAGGCTTTTCTTGGAACAGGCTCGTTAATGGTCTGTCACTTGAGTAGCAGCCTCCTTGTTTATTATGTGTTGAATGTCTTGTCCTTCTCACCCTGTGATTTGGAATGTCATAGGACCAAGTGCCAAAGGGACGTGGGTGGCACTGTGGTCTAAACCACTGAGCCTCTTGGGCTTGCCGATCAGAAGGTCGGCGGTTCTAATCCCTGCGACGGGGTGAGCTCCCGTTGCTCGGTCCCTGCTCCTGCCAACCTAGCAGTTTGAAAGCATATCAAAGTGCAAGTAGATAAATAGGTACCGCTCCGGCAGGAAGGTAAATGGTGTTTCCGTGTGCTGCTCTGGTTTTGCCAGAAGCAGCTCAGTCATGCGGGCCACATGACCCAGAAAAACTGTCTGCGGACAAACGCCGGCTCCCTCGGCCTGTAAAGCAAGATGAGCACCACAACCCCAGAGTCGTTCGCAACTGGACTTAACTGTCAGGGATCCTTTACCTTTACCTTTAGTACCAAGTGCCAGAGATTCAGTGCCCTGATGGAAGATTAAAGTGTGTTTTGCTTCTGTTGCAACTAGATATTGGTACTAAGAGAGTGCAGGAAGCAGCATCTTTGAATTACAGGAAGGTTCTGATTAAACCTAGGGAAGACATAACAGTTGCACATAAGTCATGAAGTCTTCCTTGAACATTTTAAAGGGAAGTCCAAATAGTTACCTACTAGGGATGGGTAGTGCTGGCTCGTTTAAACTGCAAAGTCCCCTTGGCCCCATAGCTGCTGGTTCTGGTGGGTACCCCAGTCCCCATCTCTTTTCCCACACCACCATTCATTTCTTTATGATATTTGATATGTCAGAGAATTTGAGACAAGTGCAGTAGAAGAGGGATGAAGCAGAGGAACTGGAATAAATGTTCAGCAGGGCAATGTAGTATAGTCCTACATGGAACCAGGCTAGATCAGATATTCGTCGAGGCACACTGCATGTTCAGATGTTCACTGTCACTTAACATTTCTTTCCATGCATATGTGGGGGGGGGGAGAGAGACTGAATCTTATTTTTTTTTAACATGGGACGCATTCAGTTCTGCCATGTGCTCCGCTGAATGCTTGGCTTGGCTGTTGGAGAGCCAATGGGATGGAGGAGCCTTTAGGAAATGCAGTACATATAATCCATTGTGTCCTTTCCCATTGAAATTCCGTAATCAGAATTGTATTTTCATCTCTGCTTCTAGATTTCACCAACTCACACACGTCCTGCAGGGAGTGGAGAGCAGAAGCAGCAGATTCAGACCGTTCTGTCATCCCCTCCTAGACTGTCAGTTGGCCTAAGGTAAGAAACGTTTTGCTTTTGACAGCAAATCACTAAATTAATTGAGGGTGTGACAGTAAATTATTTGCTTCCCCTCCATTACATATGTTTCAATGAAATTCTTTTCAATATAACTAGACAGCAAAATAATATTGGGGGGGGGGAATTTGAATCATTATTGATATATAATTTTACAAATTATTTTTACAAATCCCATTAAATTCTTTCTCAGTCCAGAAAAATAAGTACAAAGCGCATCTTCCATCTCTTCTTAAAGAAAAGTTTGTGTCCACTGATTTGCTCCTTGGCTAGGAAATGAGAGGGGAAAGGGGGTGGGGATCCCTGAAATATCAGAGATATAACTTTGCTCCTTTCTTGGAGTTGAATGGAGATTGATAAATGACATGTGAAGGGTTGTGGTTTTTTAATGAAATGGGTCTCAAGGACTGACTTTTTGTTCTACCGAATGAGGATGAAGGATTCTTGCTAACTTCACTTGTAAAGATTTAGGTAGCCATCCTATATTCACTTACCGTGGGAGTAAGCCCCACTGAACTGATTGGATTTACTTCTTTGTAGACACGCATAGAGTTGCACTCCTGGCATAATTGTTGCCTCATATTTGACCCTTCAAAGAAATTTTATGGAGTAGTAGAACAGCTGGTTATTCATGTTAAAATAGCTATAGAAAGAAAACCAAGTGTTCCATTCTGTTGGAAAATATTCATTGGTTTACAAAAAAAAACCCTCCTTCCATTCACCACAACCACCACAAACTAGTCTCAACTGGATAGACTTCTCCTGATTCTATGCTCCTTGCAGCAGTTTTCCATTTTGGTTGTCTTTTACATCCTTTTTCAACTCCAGTTTGAGATAACTGGGCTCAAAGTAATCTTTGGATTTCCAGTAACACTTATAGCAAATTCTCCATGTCAGTATTTTAGATGAAATAACCATAAACCAGCTTTCCTTCCCATTATTCTGGCAGAAAACCGAGAGGAGAGGGGAAGAAATGTCGCAAAGTGTATGGGATGGAGAACAGAGATATGTGGTGCACAGCTTGTCGTTGGAAGAAGGCCTGCCAGAGGTTCATTGACTAAAGCGTGGAAAAAAACAATGGAGTGGTATGGAGTGATTTATGGCAGGATTTTCTCGCTACAGCCAGGCTGTGTGATTTTCTTCTTTTTCTTTCCACTTCCTTCAGTGCTGGTTTCTACTTTGCACTCTAAGGTGAAGTAGTTATACCCCAAGAGAAGGACTTCTTCGAAGCCAACATGCAGCAATATAGTGGGAAACAAACAAAAACAAAACCTTCAAAAAGTTTTGAAGCAGGAGCAGCTATATGTCTTTTTTTTTCTTTAAAAGAAAAAAAAGAAAAGAACTCTCTTTAATAACCTTGAACAATTTGCCTGCCGGGACCATGTGTTTTTTCACACTGCATTATTGTCTGTGTTGTGAACTTTGGGGTGGGGGTGGGGCGGGAATCAAGTGATACTTCTTTTCCTAAAATGTTTATGCACCACACAAATGCATAACATAAGCTACAGTTTTCTCAAGAGCAGCTCTCCCGGGAGTGGTGAATAATTATAATGTGAGCAAGTCTTGATTCAGAGGTGGGAAGTGTCCTTTAGAGGTACTAGGATGCGGCTTTGCTGGAAAGACAAGCATCCTTGTGAAGAATCTTTTGTGAGAGGTCTCAGACCTGAAGCCCAAGCACGAGTCTTGTTTCTGTGCTAAAGGAGGATACCTGGAGAGGGCAGGGGAATCACCAGCACACCCAAACTAAAAAGTACAACCACATGTGGGAAGGGAGTCAATAACATTAAATGACCTTCGGTTGAAATAAGAATAAGAACTTGGGTTCCAATATGATCTTCCTAGAAGTGATTGCAGGAAAATTCTTTGTCCTGTTAAGGAGAAGCATGGGCAGCCATGTGGACTTTTGTCAGCATTTATTCAGGGATGCGATGATCCAAGCCAGCAGCTTCCTTCCCTGCCTTTTTATATGACATTCTGAAATGAACAGATCAGTTAAAAATACAAGGCATTATTTCTGGGGGAAATATACATGGAGGATAACAGCTTAACAACAACAAACAACAACAACTTAAATGCTTTCCAATAAGTAAAATATGAGTGTAGCATAGCAGTTATATGTGTATATAAAAAAATCCTTAGAGGGTAAAGTTGTTTCAAGGTCAGAAATAAAATGTTTTCAAGCTGCCTTGCACTTTGATAGGTCTTGGTGCTTTAGTGTAATTTAGTATTGGGGTGGGGTCCATTAGAAGGCACAGATTATATTAGTGGGTTGGTGGCTGAGCTAACTTTTGAAAATCAGAGGGAAAAATGCATACAGGTAGATAGAAATTGTTTGTCTGAGCAGGCCCTACTAAAACAAATGAGATTGGTGCAATAGCACAATGGGGTGCTTGTTCTTAAAACATCCTGGTGGATTTTGTCCTGTGATATTAACTCAGGTGGAAAAAGAATGGTATCCCAAGTTGGGAAAACAAGAGCAAGAATGGGAGCCTATGTGGATGTCAGTCCAACTATTGCATGACTACAAGTCATAGGCAAATTTTATTTTTTGTAAGACCACAGATACTGGTGTCTACCGATGGCTATGGGGGGCAGCACAACATTTAATTGGAGCACAGAATCTATAGCTAGGGTTGGTCCTCATGCAAACTTAAAAAAAAATAGCTTTAATAATAGGCCTCTTCCTTTGTAGGGTTCTGTACAGGTAAGCCTAAGATTCCCAAACAAGCGTATTTGGGAAACGACTGGGTTGCATCAATAGGGTTCTCCCGTGTAAGCAGTCCCAAAAGAAATTCAAGCAGTTTTCTCTAACACCTCCAAAGAAGACAATCCTACAGAGCTTGAGCTGATTGCAGTCAGTCTTAACAGCTGCGGGATAAGGATCATGCCCTCCTGGAGATGTGGCAGTGAAATAACAGAAGGCATGAGTTTGATACAAAATTACATTTTTTTAAAAAAAACAACAAATAGTGTTGTTACTCTACATGGCAACTGTTTAGATCTAGCCTGACCATTAAAGAAAAAGTAATATTTGAGAGGCAGGGGAATGAAGCCTTGTTTTTAGTTGCATCTTCAAATGTCAGCTGTGTTTGGCAAGACTACCCGCAATGCATAGTGTTTATGTGATCAGGAAGCTAACTGCTAATTCCAGAGCTGTATACCTAATGTAACAGTCCCTCCATGTGTTCATGCTTTAATTTGTAATGTGTTAGGTTGCAGTCATTCTTTTGTGTTGCCGTATATCTCTGAGTGTTCACAATGATCTGTTTGAGGTTCACTCAATAGGGATCACCCATAACTTCTGTTTGGACCTGTTGCTTGGAGATGAGTACAAACATTAACCTACTTCCTTAATGTTCAGGGGGAGAAAAGGTAAGGCACAGTTTCATTCCTAATGTTGCATAGGCAATGTTTGTAGAAAGCATGCTTGCTAAAAGACCCAGGTCCAATTCCTGGTATTTCCATTAAAAAAACCTTAAACAGGACTATGAAAGACCTCTGCATGAGGCCTTAGAGAGCCACTACCATTTGGAAATAGATGTTATTGGCATCGATAGACCAAGAGTTTGACTTTGCAATCACACGTTTTAAGAAGAATGAAGTACTGCAGAAATATTTTGCACTCGAGCAAATTCTTTATCATTTAAATGTTCCAGTTGAAGTTCACATGGTCCTGTTCTAGTTCTGTGGCGTTTTCACAGGACAATATTGCCATACAAGTTGCAGAATGATAACTCAAATTCAAATAAACCATTAATATGACTCAAGGTCACAAAACCAGAAAGTGTAAGGGCAGAGGATGGTAAATATTTAGGCTGTTGACAGGCGGGGCGGGGGCAGGTGTTGGAAATACATAATAAACTAGAAACCCATGGCTGGTATTTCGTTGCATGTATTTATGGATATGATTGGAAATTCTGTTTTAGGATGGTTGCATATGATAGGGACTGTACCAAATTATTATTGGTGCTCTCAAATGTTCAGAGCTGAAGTCAGCCCTTGACATATCTAAATATTCACAAGAGTTCAAAACCAATGTTTGACCCTTGATCGTTTTAGCATTTTTGTCAGGCATTTTCAACTTAACTCTGCATTCATGAGGGCTAGAAACACTGAAACATGATCTTCCCAGGATAGTGCCTGCTGAATATTGCCCACAACACTCTGTCTTAATGCAATAGCGTTCATAAAAAAATAATCGGCATTGTCAACTCATTTCTCTCATCTCCATTTCTCTGCTCTGCAAAGCTTTCTTATACTGTGTATGGTTCAAGTCTTGAACAGTGGGAGTGTTCCATGTGGCAACACTGAGATAGGCTTTGTGTGAACTACTGTTTGCCATAGCTAAGTTTAAGGCCAAGCTGCCCTAAGATAGGATTTGGTTGTTTACTCAATGACTGAACCACCTTATAAGTGATTCTACTAGACCTCTGATAGGAAGAGAAGGGCATAATTTTACAATAGAAGTGCTTGAGCTTGCCTTGTTGTACATAGTAACTGCTTGTTCTAAAATTGCTTACAGAATAACATTTTTTTTTACTGTTGTAGAATTTCAATAGGGTTTTGAAACCCAGGAAAACCACAGAAAGTGGGTCATTAGCTAGAATTGTAATTACGCCAGCTTGTCAGGTGAGAAAAAGGCTATACTGAACCACAGGTGGCTGCAGTGAACTATTTAAATGCTGTTTTTTTTATTAAAAAAAACTTGCTAAAGTCCATTCATTTCAGTGGGTCTACTCTGAGTGAAGTTTATTTGGATACAGCCCAGTTTTGAATGTTTGACCGTGTCAGCCATCAGAGGCCTAGAGCCTCTTGAATGAACCTGTTGATAACTGTCTTGTGGTTAGTGTTATATATGAAAATTACACCACCACAAAAAAACCCAAACATGCAGGGGACTTGTAGCTCAGTGAAAGTTTTTATTTTACTCCCCCTTTGAAAAACTGCCTCTTGCATTTCAAAAGAAGTTGAGCATGCAGTGGAAGAAAACAAATCTGAGGCTTCTTGGACTCACACAATTGTTTCTGGTTCTTTGGTTCTTTGTCACTTATTCTAGTTGAAACGTGGAATATGCTGTTGTCGACCTGATCCCTATTCTAAAGATCCACCCCATCCTAAACTGTGAATCTTACCATAGGCTTGCCCCCTAATTGTTATCTCCCCACCCCTATTGACTCTTAAAATTATGTAAATAAATTATTTCCCTCAGGGAAGGAAAACAAAAAGAATAGCAATATAGTTTTGTTTCAGATAGAATTGGTTGAGCACAGAGAGAGATGTAAAGTATAAAAAGTTTTGTTTTCTAGCCAGATTTATTCAATAAAATTTGAAAAATTAGTCCCTTGAAATTGTTTATAGAAACAAGCATTTATCTTAATCTTGTGTATATTCAGTAAGGCGGGTTTTGAAAGGTGACATTTGTTTATATTAGGAATTGAATTCCAGTGGACCCTAATTCAATTGGCAGTTGACCGTTCTTTCTGCAATCACACTGCTCAAGTACCTGCAAGAGAATGACTGCTCATTAAAAAAAAAAAATGTTTATTATGGGCAAATAGTGTGTCTTTCAAAGACAAAAAGGTATTCAGACATTGTCAAGCCATTCAGTCCTATGCCCTGTATTAGAGTGGATCAACATGGGACGTCCACTTGCCCCCCAGTGATCCTATCCCAAAGGAGAAATTAAATTCTTTCCCAGGCAATACCGGTCTTACCTGTACCCAAGGTGTTGCAGAATCCACTTTCAGGCATCTTTTCAACCCCAAAATGGGCAGCAGATTCAAGGGGATGCCAAGTGCATGAAAACTCAGTCTTGTGCTGGGGGGGAACAGGCAAGGAAGAGGCTGTAAGACAGCTTGAGGTTTGTTTCCCTTCAGATCTGTGTTCAGATGGGAACTTCTTACCAGAGCTTTAAAAAAATTGTTATTTATTTTTTCTTTATAGATTTGTTTTAATGAAGCTCCCTCTGTGTTTACTTCATCTCAGCAAAATAGAATTTTAAATAAAAATCAGACCTATTCATATTCCTGCATATGAAAATATGGCATAATTGGCCTTTTTGTGGCTACACATACAAGAAACCCAACACTCCCCTTTCCTTTTTATTTTATTTTTAAAAAGGCAGTAGTTTTGTATGTGAATGAGGGGCCACCAATCCTTTATCTGAGCATAATGTAATACTGTTTTTGTATAGTCCCATTCTGTCAAACGCCTGGCCCTCAAGTCCAGTATATCGTGCATGATTCCTTTTCGTGATCAGAGCTCTCATAGGGATGCTGATCTTGCGAGAACTTTAACTTTTGCAAATGTTTTGTGGAAAATGAATACTAAAGTCTGCCCAAAGAAACAGAGAGGTGTTGTTCTGTGTATTAAGAACATAAAAAGAGCCTGCAGGATCAGGCCTATGACCCATCTAATTCAGAGTCTTTAAAAAAAATAAATTCGCCAACCAGATGCCAATGAGAAACTGATTATAATCAGTTTGCAAGCGTGTTCCTTGGAAATTTGGGGTGCCCCAGTGTGAATATAGTAATGCTAGGCATTGCAGGTGTTCTAGAATCTATTGCACCAGACAAAGAGTAGGAGTTGATTGGCAGACAAAATAGAGTCAGGTGGATTGTCTGAGAAAGAGAGGTTTTTGAGCATCGTTGTTCTATGTGATTTTCTGTCTTAGGAATCCCTGGTTCAGCAAAACACTTACGCTCATATTTAATTTAACTTGCTTATGTTTTTTTGAATTAGGACTACTTAACAATGAAGCTGAGTCCCTTATACTATTTGGGTGCTAGAATGTGACTTATTATATTTCTAATATTGTATTTATACATTTACATTGCACGACAATCTGGATTTTTTGAGGTGCCATGCCATTTGTTGTATAGATCCAGAAAGCTTTTTTTTCTCCCACAATTTATATATAAAAGGGAGAAGTAATTAAAGATATGCCAAGAAATAGCAAGCTTAATTGGCTCTTTACAAAATGTTGTAAAATTAACCTGTCTCGTGGTGGTCTTAGTGTCTGAGATATGCAGTAGTTATAGCAAAAAATAAAAAAGGAAAGCAACAACAGCCTTACTGAATGGTGCAATATTGCTTTTCTATTAAACAAAGGGCTATCTTGTTGAAGAAAAGTATAAGCCACTGTGAAGAATAATTTTGCAGCATCTTACTAGCAAGTCTGTATAGCCAGAACTTTTAGCCAATCTAATAGGTTTCCAAAATGTGTTGAGGGTACATAAATTTGAATAGGAATGTAATTTGAAAATCCGTTTCAGAGAGGGATTTTTCTTCTCATTGTCAGTTTGAATCCTATTCTCAGGGCCATATGTCCCACAGGAAAGGAAGGTGAACTAGTATTCTAGTCCTGAAAGCCTTGTCTTGTATGTCATAAACTGGTTTCTGCCTAGTTCTGGCATTTAGATAACATGAAGGTAGCTTAAAATTTGCTGGTTTTAAATCTGCTGGTTTCAAAACATGCTTTGGATTGACCCACAGTCCTAGATAATGATTATTTGTTTTTAACCACAAGACTGAAGGCTTTTCAAACATCATAAGGAATGATCTCCCCCCGCCCCTTACATTCTTGAAAAGAAAAAGAAAAATTGCTATCTAAAACCCCTAAAGTTAGCCAAAGATTAAAGATCCAGGGAGCAGGTTATCTTGTCGTTTGCTTTTTCTTTTCTTTTTTAACCATTGATGTTCTATTTTTATGGATCTGAAGGAAGGTCAGTGTGCAGACAAAAATTCAAGCTATATCACAAAGCCCTGATTAGGGATACAGTAGCCATGCAGTTCAGGTTATCAGTATCAAATACCTTAAAATGCACTCAAATTGTACAAAGGTGGCAGTACTTTGCATCAGGTGAACAGATTTCTTGTGGGGGTGGATAACAGAGGCTAATGTACATTAAAAATCCACTACATTTAGCAAAGCATTAGTATTATCACAGTCTCCATTCATTTCATTGGGGCTTGTGCAGGGGTCCTACACAATCCAACATTGAAATTAATATAGCAGTGTTAGATGGCAGAATGTTCCTTCCTTCCGCTACGTCTTCTCATGTCAAAATAATTGAACTTTTTAATCTTCTGCTGAATGATCCTTGTGGTATTTGTTGATTTGTGTTTATGTGATATAAAATGAGAACCTGGAAGAAATGCATTGAATTATTTCTCTCTTAGCTTCTGCGGGTTGTATATATGAGATCTAGTAGACACTTTGACAGAAGCCTCTTTGATCCAGTAAAGGTTTTCCTCAGCATGTCCAAAAGGAAGGATATTTTCACAATTCCTTCTCCCCCCTGCACCATACCCCCCAAATCTGCTCCTGGGGGTTGTGAGACACACACCCCCGAACGTCCTGGGAGGTGGAACCTGGGAGCTGCTGGATGTAATTGGCAAAAACCGCCTCCCTCTCTTGTTCCATTAATAGAAGCCAGTGCTGGATCCAAGGGTTTCTTCTGTCAATGAAAAATCACCACTGAATACAACACTAAATCTTTCATGCCAATCACTACGGGTGGTGGTCAACTCAATAACTGCACAAGCAGAACAACTTGCACAAGATGACTTTCCCCCTTTCTTCCCCACAGGCCCCCTAAATCTGTTTGGGGAGTTCCCCCAACCCACTGGAGCAGATTTGGGAATGGCACGAAGGTCACACAGGGGGACAGAGATGGGTTTAGGGGAGAGCAACTGGGTCGGTCACATTGGAGGCAGAGTTGGAGGCAGGGCCACAACTATGATGTAGAATGGAAGGTGAGAGGTGGGGGCACCAAATATTGGTGTTGCACAGGGACCCACTGAAATTTGAGACCCCAAGGTCCACTATTGAGGGTGAAGAGGAGAGGTCATTCCATTTGCACAGCTATTTAGCTGAATACCACCCTATCTTCCAAGTACTTAGTCAAGCTTGTGGCTTAATTACACAGGTAGAGTAAATTAATGAACATGATCTGTTGTAATTGTCAAGCTCAGATTAAATATTTGGATTAATATAATAAAAGCTTCCTCAGGTTGCAATAATGGCACCAGTCCATCTTGACAAAGAGTAGCACGGCTAATTATAATTTACAGTGGATTCCCCACCCCCTCCATCAAAAAAAAAAGGAACTTTGTTTTGCTCCAGAAAGGAGGTCATTTTCTTTTAAAAAGTGGAGAGTAGGGGAGAAACCATTTTGTTCTTAGAAAATAATATGTATCTGAAGTCTGGGATCCTAAGTTCATATTTGGAAATAAGATTCAAATGAAATAGTAGAGCTGATTTTCAGACAAAATTGGTAAGGGCTGTAGCTCCTGTCATTTGCTGGGAATAAGTATTTAAATATATGCTTTAATGTCAACAAGACAAACTATAGACTGTTAGAAAGTTGAGGCTAAGAACCTGAACTGCAAGATTTCTGTTTTCTTACAGGTAATTGAGATTCTCTTTAAATGTTTAGCTGTAGATGTTTTAATCAGATTCTGATGTTGTGGAAATATCTTGGTTCTGACTAAGGTGGCATAGGCCCGGTTTGAATGCAACATCGCCTGTTTTACAAACCATAGTTTGTGAAGACAGGAACAAGGGTCAGGCCTGTATACTCTTCCCTGTCCCCTCCTCTTGAGCATTGGCTTCAGTGTGGAGATCTTGGTTTGCTTTTAAATCAGAGTTCCTTGTGGTGTCCAAAACAGGAAACTGCTTTAATATTAGTTTACTAACAGAGGTATTAAATCAGAAGACAACCCTGGGCAACCTGTCTGAATCTGACCTACTTTTTGCTTTTATGACAGACATGGCAAAGTTGCAAGCTGTACATATGTTCAACCTCTCTCAAGGCCAGCTCAGTGTGTAAACCTCACTAAACAAATCAACTTGTGAGAAGGTTAGCCTATGAGGGGGAAGTTTGCCTGGCTCTCTACAAGCTTGGAAACCTAGGCTGTAGTCTACAGAACTACTTTTCTGAAGTTCTCTTGCAGATTTTTGCTGAACTTTTCTAAGATTTTCTGGAGTAAAGGATATCTAGCAGAGTTTTATAGCTGCAATGTCTATGCTAATTCACCTTTTATCTCCTGTTTCTGTCTCATGTCCATCTCTGAGCTACGTTGCAGCTTACAGAAGCTTTGACTAATTTGTGAATTATGATCCTAGCCTTCACATGTGAGAAGTTATGTTTTAATATGCATGTTCGTCAGGTTCAGAGCTTTCTAGAAGAGAAGTGTAAGAGATTTCCATTCCCTTTTTCTCCCTGTCAAGATTGTATTGCTGCTGAAAATGTATAATTTTAGTGAATGTTGGAGAGGCACATGGTACAATAATAAGCTTTCTTTTTTCGGGGGAAAAGCTAAGTTCCAAAGTGTACATGGAATACATGTTATCAAGCACACTTGGTAAGCGCAAAAGCACTAGTTTATATTTAAGAAATTGACAGTACAATCCTAACCATGTCTACTCAGAAGTAAAACTTACTGAATTCCATGGGGCCTATTCCCAGGTTAGGATTGCAGCCTAATATGTCAATCTTAAATATTTAATTCATGTGTTGAGTTTGGTTTTCTAGGGATTACTTGCAGAGTTCTATAAAACTGCAGCATATTTATACTAAAAAAACAACAACAACCTGTTAACAAAAGGCTCATTGGGAATCCCCTAATTAGTTTGGGGAATATCACTTTAAATTGAACTAGTGGATTCTGATAACAAAAAAAGGTTTCAAGAAGGAAATGTAGTTAATATTATTCAGTTACTGCAGGGGTGGGGGAACCTTTTCCAGACCTAGGACCCCGTCCCCTTCTGAGAAAGTTCCCAGGGGAGAATGGGATCTGAGGCAAAAAGCAGGCAGAGCAACAAATGTGAATTTTACCTTTGTACAATAGGCTAGTTTCTACACAGACACTCCTCATCCTATAGTCTCAATCCAGACAAACTATAGGCACTATCAGAGTTCAAGGATGCATTTCAAGGCAGGCAGAAACACTCAGAGGTAGGGCCAGCGAGGGGGTGTAGCCTTTGGAAAGTCCTGAGGGCCACATTTGGCTCCCACACCTGAGGTTCCCTGACCCGGAATTACTGCTTCCACAGTTAACGTTTGCAGGAAAACTGTGTTTTGATTTATGTCTGCTCCCAAAAGAATCTATGGATTTTAATGAATGTATCTGTAACTGTAAAACTATGCATTTTTCATAAGAACATGTGTTACGTTATACCTGTTCAGAAATCTTCCTAAAAGTCTACTAAAATGGTTAAATGCCGCCCATGGTGAATTGCTCAAATTTCCATTCTTGGCACACTTAAAGTTCTGCTTTAGAGGGACGAAAAGGAATGGCGTCGCGGAGGAAATGTGTATTTCTCTCCCTCTAGGTCAGGCTTCCTCAACCTCGGCCCTTCAGATGCTTTGAGACTACAATTCCCATCATCCCTGACCACTGGTCCTGCTAGCTAGGGATCATGGGAGTTGTAGGCCAAAAACATCTGGAGGGCCGAGGCTGAGGAAGCCTGCTCTAGGTAATGCAGTTTTAAGACAAAGGGAAAGCAAGTGAACTGCTTTCATGTCCCATTTATTTTTAGGCAGGAGACATGGGTGTTTGTCAGTGGGCCTTAACTGTGAGCCGGTTAAGTGGTGCTTGCAGTGGGCTGTCCATTCTACAGCCTGCTCCATCAGTGACTGCGTACATTCAGCCCTGTGAGTGGTTACTTGAAACTGGTTGCCATAGAGAGTCGGGCCAGTCTTCCCCACACTGATGCCTTCAATATATTTTAGACTATGACCACCTCCGTCAACTCCAGCTAGTGTTGCTGTGCTGGGTAGGATTGATTGGGGAGTAATAGTTCAAAATATCTGGATGGGCATGAAGTAGAGGAAGTCTGGGTTAGATGGTTTTGATCTTTTCAAATACCACTAGCCAATTTAAGAAGTAACTTTTGAAAACCTAGTCAAGATTCTGAATATGCCGTTGAAACGGAGCAGAGTTGCAGAGTAAAAATGGTGTTGTTAAATTTTACTTTTTACTGTAGTGCTATTGAATTAAAATCCTGCCATGTTTTATTGTAAACACAGTGCCAAATATTTCCTTTTGCCTGATTAACAATACAATTTTAGGAAAACTAGCATCCGTCCAAAACAGGATGAAAGTCTCTTGCTAGTCTCCTAGGACTCCAGTTATACAATACGATGTTCTTACAACTGGGGATCTATGCAGATTTGGAGGAATCTGCCTGCAAACATCATACTGAAGGGCTGAGCCTTGGGCAATGCACAGATAGAGCTACAATTGCTACATTACTAGAGGGCTTTTTCACAGTAGTATATTGTGCTCCCTGTGCCAAGGAGAGGTGACTTTAGGTTAGCCTCAGATTAGAGTCAAGCATACCTCGGAGCAGGGAGTGGAATTTCATCCACCAAAATTTAGCACGAATCTATCTGGGGAATAACTGCAGCCTACCTCTAGTCTGACACGGGGACAGGAGGCAACTTATCCCTAGGCGAATGCTGCAAAAATTACTAACGTGTTTCAGAACCTGTAAGACTATGTCATATGCCTGCAGTTTCACTTCCACTGAAGTCAGTGGAGCTCCTTCCAAAGAATGCAACGAGAGTGAGTCATCCTTTGGTTTTCAGGAGGAGTTTCTTTTATTGTCTGTTTTAATATGGGGAATTCACTTTATAAATATTTGAAAAAGAGAGCTTCCAATTTTGGCACTAATGGAAATACTGGATACTTTTAATATATATTTAGAAGGTTATTTGAAAAGCAAAATGTTCTGTCTTTTTATATAATTTTTAGCCAGATGCATATACTCTGATTACTACTTCTGTGGATTCCTATCAGACTGTAAGTGCAAAAAAACAAAAAAAACTAGTTCAGGTTTCAAAACCCAGGGGGTAGCGGACAGGGGAACTGACTGTTTTGAAGTGCTTTGCTAGTTTTTGGTATATTGTGTGTTTGTATATAAATATATCTATATACATTACAAAGATATATAAAAATAGGTCTGTAAGGTTCAATGTTTTGTGTTTTATCGCTGTACTCTAAGGAAATAAAATGTGTTTTGTATTACTTTATGAATTAATTGCAAAAGGCTTTATGCATTGATCAAAATGTTTTCTAGCTATTTTACACCAGAAGTTGATAAATAACTCTAATCCTATGTAAATTCACAACATTGAGTTTAGAAGCGGAATTTGAGATTTTTAAGCTGGCTCTGATGGATGGCACCAGATAAAATGCACTTTCTTTGTGGCACGTAATGTATTTTGCTCTCAATGGGCTTTAAAACAAAAGACCACAACATGTTTACATCTTTTCTTGTGCCCTCCTCTTCCCCCCCCCTCCTTTATAATTGCAAAAAAATAAAACATTTCCTCTTTGAGGGGGGGGAGCAAACAAATATCTGAGTTACTGAAGTAACATTGTTCAAGAACGGATTGTTTGGAATAGATTAGTATGTTGGTTTTAAAAAACAAATCATTTTAGTGATAGTCTTCAGTATGTGAGCTCTGCTTTGTGATGTTTGGTTGTGACAAATATGCTGTTGCTTATCTAGTCTAAATATCATTGTTTTCTTGTATTTTACTGTTAATGGCTATTCCATTAGTTGCACTTGCTTGAACTGAGTCAGAAGACTCAGAAGAAGTCTTGCGGAACTATTGAGACTGTTATGATGTCCAGAAACATTACTTAAATGCACTTATAATTGATTTACTACCATGCAGTATGTTGAACTGTTTCATGTAATAAAGGCATTTGTTGTATAAACTTTGTCGTGGGGACAATTTTCCTTGGGCTACTTTTTGTGCTGAAACAAAAAGATGGGGGGGGGACACCAGCAAAGGCAGGGGAACACACAGCCAAATCTAATGTACTAATCCACTTATTGGAACATGGAATTTAAGCAATTGAAAGGGTTCAAAAGTCCAACACATGTGATGGCTCTTCTTCGGAACAGATTACAAAACGATGGATGGATATAAAGACAAGACCAAAAAAGCAAACAAACTCCAATGTTTTTAAATAATTTTAAACACCAATATTTGTCCATATGTTATAATGATTTGAGATAACTCTGATTTATATATGCTAGGCCCATTTCACTAGTGGAAGGGAAGCGAGACTTTAATATTTTGATACACACTTTTCCTTCATGTTTAGATAGTCCTAAGAAGCAAACATTCTTGCGTAAGTACAGCTATGTTGAAGACCACTATTGTAATAAAAACTCCCTTTGCTCAACTGTGTACACCATGGGTAGGCAAACTAAGGCCCGGGGGCCGGATCCAGCCCAATCGCCTTCTAAATCCGGCCTGCAGCCGATCCAGGAATCAGCGTGTTTTTACACAAGTAGAATGTGTCCTTTTATTTAAAATGCATCTCTGGGTTATTTGTGGGGCATAAGAATTCGTTCCATTTTTTTCTTCAGAATGTAGACTGCCCCCCCCCCAAGGTCTGAGGGACATTGGACCGGCCCCCTGCTGAAAAAGTTTGCTGACCCGTGACGTACACCATGCAGGAGTGCTGGCTTGGCCTCACAGCTGTGGTTGCATGGCCCTGACACCTAAATTTGTGGGTGCCTAGCATCTATGACATCATGAGATGCTAAGCCCTGTGTATCCTATTCAAAATGGTACCCAAATATTGGAGTAAAATATACCTGCAAGACTCTTCTCCATACACAAGACTCTTGCATCTTTACCAGTCTGGCATGATACTGCACACAGGCATCTGCTGGTGTTAAATGTCCCAGTTGTCGCCTCACACACCAGCATGGATTCCCTGCAACCGGCTCCTCTATATCCAGCACAACAGCACCTAGAACAGAAAGACATCAAAACTAGCTGGAAAACCCATCTTATTAGATATATGTCTTCGTTGAGCAAATCTTTATCATAGGTTGCCCTCTTGTGGTGAGAAAGTGTGTTTGCAGCTTTAAAATCCCTAAAACTGCTCTTTACAAAGCAGCTAACGCCTGTCGTCTTTCCAAATAGTCAATACAACTGGCAGTGCTGGTGGCGCTGATAGGAACTGCAGCCTAGTAACATCTGCATCCATTCTCACTAAATTAAATGTTATTAAATGTCACATTCTCACTAAATTAATTGGAGCAAGAGCGCAGAAGGATTCTGCCTCAGAACCTGTTTGGACGGTCAGAGCTCATCTCCAGGGCCTGTGACATCATAACGAAAGCGAGTGTCTCTGATGTTGATGCCTCTGGGCTGTAGGAGGCAGGACTACCACAACAGAAGATGCCAATTCCAGAAAGGATTGAGATTGTGCCTCTCTCTCTCTCTTTAAGGTAAAGGTAAAGGGACCCCTGACCGTTAGGGTCCAGTTGCGGATGACTCTAGGGTTGCGCGCTCAACGAGGGAGCTATAGGCCGAGGGAGCAGGCGTTTGTCTGCAGACAGCTTCCGGGTCATGTGGTCAGCATGACTAAGCCCCTTCTGGTGAAACCAGAGCAGCGCACAGAAACGCCATTTACCTTCCCGTTGGAGCGGTACCTATTTATCTATTTGCACTTTGAAGTGCTTTCAAACTGCTAGGTTGGCAGTTTAAGATAGGCATGGGCAAAATTGGCCCTCCAGCTGTTTTGGGACTACAACTCCCATCATTCCTAGCTAATAGGACCAGTGGTCAGGGAATTGTTGTCCCAAAACAGCTGGAGGACCAAGTTTGGCCATGCCTGCTTTAAGGCAATGAAACAGTTCAGCAGTTCAATGATGCAAGGGATTCAGAGAGGGAAAGCTATCCTTTTTAATTAATTTGTATGCTGTTATTGACTGGGTTTTTTCCCCCTTCTTCCTAACAAAACAGGATCAACTGACCTCTTCTCCCTTTCCCCTTCCTAGTGCATAAAAATCCAAATTAAAAGAAAAAGATAATGAAGAAATATGATGCAAGGGGTGTTAAGATATTGCACAGGTGATGTAGACCTTTCCAATTGTCTTACTAGCACCTCAGTTGGGGGCCACAGAAGGATGTGTCCCTGTTTATGACAGGGATAGCCAGCTGTACAGACCTGTACAGATTTTTTTTAAAAAAAATCATGAAACAATAGCTTTTACACCTCAGTTCTTACTATCTTGGTTTGAGGGAATAAGTATGCCTATCAGGATAAAAGGCCTATTGAAGTCAGACACTAGTGGCAACAAGATTATCCATCATGCAAACACATATGTACAATTTGTGCACCAAATGTTTGAGCTGTACAACTCAGTAAGTAACACTTTTTCACAAGAACAACACTTACATGTGTGGAGATACACTGGGCACAGATACAAGGCTATGAGCAAGCTTTTTTTTGCATTCCACCCCTGATTCCAGTTTTTTGAGTTGCACATCTTGACTTCTAGACTGGCAGCTGCACACTGACAGCCAATGCCTCTAAGGGGGTCAATATACATATCTGGTGTGAGGAGAAGATCTAAATCACAACAATTGTCCTCCTTTGTGGGTAGGCAGTGCCTTTCTCCTTGCCCTGCTACAGTTGCCTTCCCAGAAACTTTTATGTGCTACTTTCCCTGTGAGATTAGAAGCCCTGCAGCTAAAAGTAATTTCTTTGTTTAAATATTTATCAACCACAGTGTCATAAAAAAGAAACCCGCAACATACAAAAATTATAATAAGATCAATGAAAACATTGGTAAAAACATCAATAAATACTGGTTGGCAAGAATAAATTAACATTTCAAAGACCTGCCTGAATAACACTATTTTAGGAGGAGCCTAAAAGAATTGTTGCCCTAAGGCTATGGGTTTCCCCTTTGAGATTCTCCCACCTGTGGTAAGATTTTTAGATGGGGTGTAACACATGTCTTCTCAGATTAGGATGGCTGCATAGTTTTATTATGTAAAACACCTTGAACCTTGGGAAAGGCTGCTAACTAATGCAAAGCAGAAAACAAAAAAGGGAAAGCTTGCAGGGGGAAATTTTAATAATACAACAAAAGGTCAGGTCTCCCCTCCTGCCCCACCCTGCCCCACTGGCCCTTTAGCTCTGTCCTGTAAGCATTTGCACAGAGAACAGGTCCCAATTCGCCCAGGGCTGCATTGATCCACGGGAAGGTGCAAAAAGAAAGAAAGATGCACCACTTTTTGAAGATGGGTCACATATTCCTGCTTAGACTGGATGGCTCAAGTAGAGGCTCCAATAGGGAAATTCTCAGCACTCAGCTCTTGAAACATTGCAGTCATTGCTGTAGAGGCCCATCTAGACAGATGGAAGGAATTAGTGGATTGTCACTGCAGAGGTCACAGCTGCAGATGTCACTGGGAAATTCAGTGCTGCTGCAACAGCAGCCTCCAAAACAGCAAAGACAGTAAAATGGAGAAGAGGAGCCAAAATCCCCTGAAGTCATGTGAGGGGTTAGGTAACCTGGGCTGCAATTCAAACCACTAATCACTTCAGAAAAGTGGGAGAGTATGCTCCCGTTTGCACTGCAGCCTAGCAGACCAATCCTATCTAGAGCTTTACCGCAGCTAAAGCAGAGTGAGATCAACACTGCCCTGCCTGCTGCTGAGACCTATATTTAACCCAGTTGCTGTATCTCCTTGTGCTGTGCTGACACAAAGGGGAAACAGGGCCCCTTTTTCTGCTACCCACAAACCTCCTTTATAGGCCAGCCAAATGCCTTGTGGACAATAAACTTGCTGAAGCCTTGGCCCCAGGTTTCTTCTGGGGCTTCCTTCTAGCAGGAGAGGAAGGGGGTGAGAGGTGCATGGTGCTATGTACCACAGCATTAGAAGGTTTTTCATTTTACTTCCATTATTCTTAGATACCCTGGGCACCTTTCGACACAAATGCTCACCAGAAGAGGAATGTGAAGCTGGAAACAGATGCAGCACTTTCAAAACGCTTTTCAACAGCAAAGCATTTACTCATGTTTATGACAAACCTAGACAGCATCTTAAAAAGCAGAGACATCACTGTGCTGACAAAGGTCCGTATAGTTAAAGCTATGGTTTTCCAAGTAGTGATGTATGGAAGTGAGAGCTGGACCATAAAGAAGGCTGATCGCCGAAGAATTGATGCTTTTGAATTATGGTCCTGGAGGAGACTCTTGAGAGTCCCATGGACTGCAAGAAGATAAAACATATCCATTCTTAAGGAAATCAGCCCTGAGTGCTCACTGGAAGGACAGATCCTGAAGCTGAGGCTCCAATACTTTGGCCACCTCATGAGAAGAGAAGACTCCCTGGAGAAGACCCTGATATTGGGAAAGATGGAGGGCACAAGGAGAAGGGGACGACAGAGGACGAGATGGTTGGATAGTGTTCTCGAAGCTACCACCATGAGCTTGACCAAACTGCGGGAGGCAGTGGAAAACAGAAGTGCCTGGCGTGCTCTGGTCCATGGGGTCACGAAGAGTCGGACACGACTAAACAACAACAGCTTGGGGAACAATGGGTAGGAACAGGGTTTTCTGGGCCTGGAACCCTATTGTAGATGCCATACTCCACCCCACTTGCAAAAAGAAGACATACCACGTGCAAATTTATGGCCTCTTTTACAAGTGAGGTGGAGGGGTCACTCACAAATAATAATATGTGTGACAGAGTATCAACAAACAGAGGTTTTCCCCTTAATTGAGTTTCCATACCGAAACAGGATTAACCTGTTGAATTTCCACGTGCCACACAGCTGTGGAAGGTGCAAGAATCCTGCTTGCCACCCAATGCCAATGTAAACCATGCAAACAACTTGATCAGTTGGAAACAAGTTGTGTTCCTGTAGGCCTTTTGTTACTGATCTTAAGTGGGCAA